ACGTCCTAGCTAGCCATGTACTCTAAGGGGTACATTCCCTTATTCAAATTCATTCTCAACCGTGCGGCGCAAACAGTTACGAAACTGTTCCCGCCAAAACCATCCTGCCTGCAGCTGCCCGATGCCATCTGCTCCGACGGTCCAGATGCGCCTTAACCGTCTGACGCTTCGAGTCAACTCTGACTCTTCGTGTTCACTCTCGATACTGCATGCTTCCTTTTGCTGCGGTGAGGAGTGCACAGTAATGAACAATCATTACTATTCGTAACATGAATATCAAAATGAACAACTGAAATTACATTTAATAGGTGCCTTGAGACGCCCTTAGTCAATTCCATTTTTTTTTCTTTAATCTTCTAAAAACAACTGCAACATTCACTGAATTCCCTTGAACAACATTACAACTAATTTAAAGCATAAGAACAACTATACAGACAGAGATAATTTCCAATATTTAATACACTCTAACTTTCGCGAGGCTGACGTCAGCAGTTCGCAATCTACCGGTTAGTCGTTGGTTGTTCACGCCTAACGATGCGGTAACCGGTGTCCCCGTCAATTGTTCACGCTGGCGAAATGTTTGGCGATCTGGTTAGCTTTCGCCTTTCATCTATTTGGGATCCGCTGCGCCAGCCTCTTCGATGTTTGGAAAAAACCTGCGACGCGATAACATTGACAAAACCGCATGAGCTGGGCTGGTTTGGGTTTGCGCAGGCACCGCAGTTGGGAAAATCCCACTTCGCGAAGATCGCTACGCCATTCGCAACGCCTGCGAAACATGCGCAACCCGCATCTCCCAGATTTCATTCAACCTGGCGCGAAAAAAAAACATCTCGCCAGATAATATTCCCCCAATAGCCATCTTCCTCCTCTCCCTAGCAAGAACCCCACTCCTGCTCCCGATTCCCGTACATTGCTGGAGCATCGCTGTTGTTCCGAAGGAACCCGTCCCGCGGATAATATCGAGAAAAATGCCTGGCTTGAATGCGCGTAACGGCTGGCGGGCTTGGGAGAGTTCCACATGGTGACGGTTTGTACGCCAACAATGCTTGACGGACAGGTCCCGCGTGAGAGCCTCTCCCTCCGCCTAAGACAGAAATTATTTAGTATTTTGTAAAAACCCCTCCCACTCCATATATAACATTCGTCACGAGCTTCCTACTAGCCTCTCTGTTCTGCTCCCGTACACCGGCTATTCTCTGGTCACGCTTACTATATTTGCGATTCGGGAAAAAAAATTCCTTTGCCACCTATGGCTCGGACAAAGCAAGGTGCTGCCACCACGGCCGCGTTGCCGGTGCTAATGTGTGTGTTGCTCTTGACGTCAGAATCCTATGTCTCGGCTGGTAAGTTTGCTCCTACGAGTATACTCGTACCATGATGCATTCCGAACGTTTTTTGGCGCATCAAAAGCAATTTCTGCGTTCAGAATTTTGGCTTGTAACCTCCGCGCCTGCTCAAAGCACGATCATGCTATTCCGAACGGTATTATCTACTATCTGAGCCAGAATCGGTAGTATTTCAGCGAGGTATCTTTACGCATCGAAATATCATGCTACATTCGGCTCTGATAGTTCTAGTAATTCGACTACTCGCCGACCTAAGCCCTTCCGTTGTTCTCCGTGCAGCAGCATCCAAGCAATTCGTTTCCATGCGACGCATTCTGGGCGGGGGCGGGACCGTGTTCCACCTTCAGAAATCCGTCGAGCCCATCCCAGCCGCCGTAAAAATGGCGAAAACCTTTTCCACCTCGACGCCTACCGCCGTGAAAATGTCAACCGCGACCGCAATGACAGCTCCGACCACCTCAACCACGACCGCCGTGAAAATGCCAATTGCGACCGCAATGGCAGCCACGAGCCAGCCAACCACGACCCCGAACGTAAAAGTGGTAGTCGTGACCAAGAAAGTCACCTCCGTGTCCGACCCAACCAAAAGCGAGACCTTGCAAACCGTGGATTTCGCACCACTCACAAATGTCACGTGCACGAACTGTGGCACCTAAGTGCAGCGCCGGGTAACTAATTTGTGAAACTGTTGTAAACCTATTAAATGACTTGTGCTGGTACGTGTGTTTGGTGTTGTATACGGCATTCTCAAAGAAATCCCAGGCTAGTTTTTTGCCCTCACGCGGCTCTCCTGGAACATGTTTGAGACGGCTCATAACACAAATCCCAGGCTAGCTTGTTTGATTCACGCGGCTCTCCTGGAACACCTTGATATCCTTGGGGAGAAGGTAGCGCAATCCTACTCGCTCCTTCTCTGTCTCGACATCTACCGCTAAGGCTGGGATTTACGCTGGAGCCATGGATGCACAAGAGCTGCGTTGGTTGATCTTCTAACTCACTCACCTAGGTGAGCGGCCGAGCTCTGCACCGACCTTGTTTACTGACAACAAGGCGACGATTCTCCTGTGTCAAGAGCCTCGACTGGAGAGCAGAGTGAAGCACATCAACGTCAGGTACTTTCTTCTTCGAGAGTTGCACAGACGTGGACAGACTTCTTTCGACTTTGTGGGCTCTGAGGCCAACACTGCAGACATCTTCACCAAGGCCCTTCCGCCTTGTGACCACCACATGTATTGTCTGCAGTTAGGTCTCGTAGACACATGTTCTCGTCTTGTGTAAACTTGCCTTCTCTGCCTGTTTTTTTTGTACTCTTTGCATTACCTGTCTAAACTCTTGGACTGGCCTTGTGGCCTTTTGTTTGTGATCGGATTGTGTGGTGACATTGTGATCCACCCTGAGCTTTGTTTGTTTGTGACTGGTCTTGTGACCGTAAGGTTTTGTTGTTGCATAACACCCCTCACTTAGTCTATGGGGGTGTGTCAAATGTTGTAGCCTGTAGTGAGGCTTGTCATATGGGCTACAATTGTTAGGGTTAGGCATATGTACGCCAACTCACAGCAATAAAAGAAACAAACTTAGGTAACATGGCATGTTGGTGTGCTACAATGACAAAAGAAGAATAGGTATATCAATTTTGGGCAACATATCCTATCCGTATGCTACCAGAAAAGATCTCTCATTGCTTTCATTTTGTGCAGAGAGCAGTGAAGCTAAATAATTGATTACGGAAATATTTGTGTCACAAGAAGGATTTTTAGCATGCTCTAGTGATTGAATATACAGTTCGTTACTTCTCTGTAAGGAACTATTTTCATAACTGGAGTGACGATGTCGAATCTGCGAATTTGGCTGCACAACTATCGGCTGCGAATGCTGCGAACTAGGGCCTGAACTAGACCAATCTTTCGGAAATGCCTGAACTGGGTCCATCGCGCTTGTCCCGCTGGCGCCGGCCAAGTAACCACACGCAACGCGAAATCTCATTTGCCCACATTCTTCTCGGAAACACCTGCGAAGCATGCGGGCGGGCGGAAACACCCACATTCATCTCCCGAATTGTGATTCGACCTGGCGCGAAAATGCGTCATCGCGCCAAAATGTCCCACTCTCCCATATCCGCAAAGGCAAAACTCTTACGTAAGAGCGACACTATTTTGAACTGGCCAACCTCTTTACTTATGGATACCTGCTCCGCGATAACTGATTATGAAAACACCTGCGGCGCGATAACATTGACGACAAGTATTATTTCGTTCGCTCGTTCGCCTATCGCAAGTTTCGCATCGCCGTTCGTAACGCCTGCGAAATATGAGCATCGCGCAACTCCCTCATTCATTCAACCTGTCATTCCCCCAAGAACTTCTCCCCCTCAGCCCCGCTCCCCACCCCACTCCTACACACTACCCCATTCGATAGAAATGAAGTTTAGGGGCTACTCCGTGAACCTCGTTGTTTCACGGATATTAGCGGATATTAGCCTAGCGGATATTAGCATCTGGACAAATGCCGGACTTCATCTTGCGTAATTCCCGGGCTTGGGAGAGTCTCACATCACATGGCGACGGTTTGACCGTCTGAGAAAACTTGCTCAACGCACAGTCCCGCATTGAAACCCTAGACACTTTCCCTTCGCCAGGCAAGACGAAACCATCTCATAGGAGACTACTCCCACTCCTATATAACAGGTTTGTGGAAGCACTCCTACCCTAAAGGATGTTCTAGGCGTGCAACGTCGCATTCTCATCAGTCGTCATTTCACATTCTTCACGAGCTTCCCAGCCAGCCACTCCGTTCTGCTGCTGGTCGTTATTCCCCTCGCACGCTTACTAGTTTTGCGAGTCGGGATCAATTTCTTTGCCACTTTATGGCTTGGACAAAGCAGGGTGTTTCCACCAGGACAGTGCTGCCGGTGCTTCTGCTGGTGCTGCTCTTGACGTCGTACGTCGCGGCAGGTAAGCTCCACATCTACCATGGTGAATCCTGGATTCGGTAGTTTATCTGAAGCAGATTCGTTATTAGTATCTGAGTGTGAAGTGTCTATACCGCGTCTATATCTATAGGTTACCACTACTTCTGGTACTAGTAGAGTAGTCTACTCGACCCAACATCGCGGAAAAGGTTTTGGGCCCGAGTATCCGAAAACGGGGTACTCTTCCGAAATGTTGCGGGAATGTATACAGAAGTGTCCAAAAAACACCCAGGCCAATCCGCACCCCTAATCCCACACAAGGGACTCGTCACTGCCGCGTCGCGACTCTTTGGCGGGACAACGAATGTCCCGCCAATATCCTCCAACACCGCACCGCACATTTCAGTCATGCAGCGGACTCGCGGCCCGGACAACATGGGGTTCACTATACGCGACATTGCATGCCCAACTGCATACCATAATCGGGCAAACAGCAGAACATCGGCCCAACACACCTACGAAGTGAATACACCACTTAAACGCATACTAAACAAATAGGGTATCCACCAAAACATCAACTATAACGCATGTAATCTGGAACACAAAATCACAATCCGTCAAACAACACATACGAGTACCACGCACGTCTTACATCTCAGCAGCACTGAAAGCCGCCTACTCGTACAAAACGTGAAACCACCCTACTCCACCTCCAACTACACACCGCCAACAGCAATACCAGCCTAGAGGCTTCCGCCTGGCAAACAATCGTCGCACACCACACTAGCTTCCTGCGCCTCGACCAACCCACCAGGCTGGCCGCCCACCGCAGGTCCGTTACGAGCACGCTTAGTAGGCGTCCTTCGAAGGCGGCTTATCACCTCCTCGTTATGCGCGCCCAACGCCTCGGGCACCTGGGACACTGGTATGCCCAAATTGCCCGCCTGCTGGCTGTACTCGCCCGCCACCATCCGCACGACCCTGCGCCGGCTGCGAACGTCCCGATACAGTGGCCCTTCAGGGATACAAAAATACGCCGGTATCTCGTCATCATCCTCCTCGTCCTCCTCATCCTCCGCCTTAATCACGCCCCACTTGATGAGCAGGTCCTCGTCGCAGCCCACAAAATCCCACGACGTCATATACATAGCAGGGGCCCTCTTAAAATTCTCAATAGCCATCTGCAGCATTGTAAGCTCGCTAACAATGGGCTCAAACATCAAAGCAGCGCCAGCGCCATCCAGGCGTTTCATCAGCGACACCCACGCCGTCGGCACACAACCCGCGCGCCACCAGCTCCTCTGAATCGCCGTCTCCGACGTCAACTTGCACGCCAGTTCCAGCCTCCTCAGCACGTCTGGGAGTGACGGTCGAGGTACCTCTCCCTTCTTCTTCCACTCGTTGCTGTCCATAGCGTCCTTCATGAACCAGTATCGGTGTATTGCCTTCACCGTGTCAACCACCCCGGTCGTCGACGGCATGCTGCACCGGGGCGGCCCGCCATAAAGCTGCACCACCTTGACACTCAGGAGATTCTGCGCCGCAAACCCGGCAACGGTTTCCGACTCGAACACACAACCAGTCAGCTCGTGCTTCGGGTCGTACACCAGAACAATTGCGCGCTCGTTCTTTGCGAAGAGATCCCCGTCAAACTTCACCATGTGCTCCGTGAATAGTTGTTGATACACGACGACATCCCCACAATTTACGCAATCAGCACCTTCCTCGTAACAGATTGCATTTGTGAAAACAGGAATGCAAACCGCGCCGAGACTCACCTCAGACGACATGCGGCCGTGCTTTGCGTAGCGCACCACGACATTATGCTCACGACGCCGCCCATTGTGTACGGCCCTGCCATCATCCCGCCTCAACACCACAAGCGGATGACGCCACTTGGAGCCAGAAGCGTTGACCAGCAAACCCACCATCATATGCCACTCGCGCGCTATTCCGAACTCCGCGTCCATAACCGCCGACACCGGGAGCCTCGTAGGTATGAACGGGAACTCGGAGAACAAGTACACATCGTCAGGATGGGCTTTGAGAGCCTCCAGGAGAGTCACTATCGCGGCCATGCTGTCGTATGACGTCTGTCTAGCACGAAAAACGCAGACTTGATATCCGCTGTGGTCCACGACGAAAAACAAGAGACGAGTACTTAGACGGTAGAGCCGAGGTTGAACCGATGAAGGAGGAACGGGGGAACATTGGCTGCGTAAAACACACCACATGTCACGTGAACCGCTAGCCTCACATGGTGCCCACCACGGATTTCATTGAACGGCAACCACATACTGTACACATCACCGACACTAGGTGGCATTAACTCAGTGGACCCCCGCACGCACCAATGGGGTTCGCCTATCCGCTCCGGTATGCACAACCGCGATACCCACCCATGCACACCGTTGTACAGCGACCGCACGGCGAAGTTCAAAAAAAGGGAGTACACCCTTAAAAAAACGCGACTACAGAAAGGTACTCTCCCGACTACTGCCCCTTCAATACAACACTGCATGCCTGCGTACGCGATCGAAACACCGCAGTGCACGAGGCACACAACATTCAGAAAGAGCATACCATAAATCTTGCCAAAGGCTAACAGAGCCCCATTGCAACCTACACAATTGCGAACAGTCATAAACCACAAATATAGTGTCACAATGAAGCTTCTCAGCATGGGTTACGAGTTTATGGTGGCATATCACCCTCCCGGCGCTGATAATCAAACCAGCACCACGCCACACAGCATATTGGTCACGGTTGTGTAATTACGTAACACACATGTTTGACATCCAACAGTCACTGAATGGCCCGACCACATCACTCGATCAGCAGAAACTTGTTCACCAGGAGCACCTTGGGGTTGCTGAAGCTCCGACAAATGTGCACCACCCTCAGGATCGTGGCCACCTCCACCACAGCGAACCTCGTCTCCATCCGGTGGGGTGTTAGCTGGATGCATGTGGTCAGGGGACAGAGCCCAGCCTGCTCATAGTACCGCACGTACATGTAGCCCTTCGGCTCCCCCTCATCCCCAGCCGCCTTGAAGATGCACAACACCTTGGCAAACCACTCCCCCCCTTTAGGCGCCAACAGTGCCACATCAGAAAACCACTTCTCCCCCGGGCTCGCTTTCACGAACGTGCCCTTGGCCACCAACGCCTCCCCACGCGTGCGCGGAATCGCCACGGCGGTGTGTGCCTGTGGAACACAGATTCGGGATGCGGGTGATTAGTTACCAGCCGTCTCAATGTCGCAATCTCACCAGCAGACTCTGCAATAACTACCATACCTGGACGCGCTCCGTCTTCACCCCTGCCGATCGCATGCATCCCACTAGATCCTTCATGTCGTCACCGTGCGACGCGTGGTACATCGCCAAAACGGCATCATCCTCCGCCCCAGGCACCATGAGCCGCCCCTTCCTCGTGAGGACCGGCTTCTTGGTCCGCACAGCCTGCACATCGGTGAATGCAACGTTCATTACCACCAGGCGGGATGCGGCCCGATTGTGTGTGGCCTCCAAGGGACCCTACCTCACATACCGCTTTGCAACCCTACCTCTCTGAGAGCAGTGGTGTACTGCCACCCGCCGCCTGCATCAGCCGCCACCTCCCGGCAGATCTCCCGTTGCACCTCCTCCTCGACTATCCTCCGGGGGATGTCTTTCCAGTTGCCGCCCCGAACCGGCACCTTGACCGTGCCCTTGTGTGTATGCTCCCACAGCTCCGTGTTGTAGTGGTGGGGCATGCCCCTGAGAATCACATTCTCCAGCAGGTGCTTGATCATGTGCACCTTAGGGAACCGCCATCCCGACTTCTGATCTGGGTATGCTCGTGGGAGAAGGTCGACCAGCCTGCCCAACCCATCGCAACAAGAGATATAGAGGTATACATTTGATGACCGTATGTCCTTCTAGTAGTGCAGGATTACAGAAACCAGCATAGGACGCAGGCGGTTCTCACCTGTATGCGAGCTCCCTTGCGTGTGCGAGCGACGCCCTCGTGTGACCATCCACGCCAAGAAAGGCCTTGTAGAACGTTGCGTATAACCGGAAAGCACGCACTCTCATAGCCCTCAGCTCTGCGTCCGGCCCCTTCCCAAGCGCCCCCTTGTCCGCCACCAGGATCGGCATGACTTGCATCATGGCGCGGTGCTCAAACGCGGCATAGTTGGCACCACTGGCCAAATACGAGGATCCTCCCGGCAGCCGGAGCACTGTGCTCGGCGTCTCTGTCTTTGTGGTCTTCTTTCTCCTGCACGGAGGGTTAGGGTAGCACAGCAGACAGGAGGGATGAGGACATGTCACACAGCCAATCTATCATCACCAAATCATATCACACCTTTCGCATGCACGCATCCCTCTACCGTGCGCCGCTCGGGCTTGCTGAGAGTGTTGATGTGGCACTCGATCATGTGCAGAGCAACACCGGAGTCCAGCACATGTATAGTGTCAGCCACGCTGGCCCCATATGGGTTTCCCCACTCGGTGTCCGAGAAGTTCCACCTGCTGAGCACACACTGCACGTGAAGGCACTCGTGTAACAATGTTAGTAACGGCCGTCAAATCGTGCCTCCCACACGCCCATGCGTTGCTATGCGGTATATCGTGCAAATCACCTCAATCGGGTGTGTTGACCATTCCGACTGCACTTTCTCAGCCGCCTTCACGGTCTTGCAAGCTAGAATCTGCTGCACCGCATGCTCCTGGGAAGCAGGGGTCCTGATGGTAGATTTGAGCTTGAGGTTTGCCAGATCATCCTCCTCCACGTAGCATGTGGTGCAGGGTCTCTTGGTCCCAATCTGCATGGTGGCAGTAGCACGACATGCTTCAATGAAGTCCGCCGGGTAAGCGTAGTAGCATGGGACCGCCTTCACAAGTTGTCCGTTTGCGTCCGGCACGTAGAAGAAACGCATGGGACAGCTGGTTCGACAGGCAGTTGCACGCAGAGTTGTAAGATCATCAGCAAGCACGGGCATCGAATCTGGGACTGCACGGTGCACTGACACACAACGAGCATCACTGACCAGCAGTAAACAAACTGACCCGTCGCCCACGTCTGTGCACGGTCTACCCACGAACACATTATGGACTCACTTTACCGACTCCCGCATGAGCGGTGCCAATATGATGCGTATGGCCTCTTGGAAGACCCGGGCCTTTTCTGTAGAGGTAGCCCACACGGGAGGAAAAGGCAGCACGGCCGCCAACACGTGAACAGGCTCCGTCCATCGCAGGTGCTCAGGAATGTTGAACAGTGTTATGAGCACTGGCCAAGCCTGCCGCCTGCCGTTCCTTGTTGCGTTCGTGCCATCGCTATACACAATGGCGCCCAACACCCATGCTTTCTCGTCTTGTATCGCTTTCTGCGCTCAAACAAGGACGGCCAGGTATTGGTCTCAGCATCACTCAGCGATAATGGGACGCCAAGCCCCACAATTTCAGCCGACCACACAGCTTACCTCTGCTTCCTGCATCCACTTCCCAGTCTCGGGGTCGCTGAACCTCCGTTTGCCTGTGGTAGGGTCCAGCTCCGTCCTCGCCTTGGTAACGAAGCCTGGTACAGCGACGAAAGTTCGCACCAACTTCTTCACCAACTGCATGGCATTGCGTTCGACGTTACGAGTTGTGGCGTCATGTTGTGCATCGAATGTAGACGTAATATATTTGGAAACTCGGGCATAACCTTACCTGCTCCGTGTCGCGATAATGCAAGAGCAACTTCTGGACCTCTCCTTTGGTCCCGCGGACAATGATCTCCTCCACAAGCCACGGAACCAGGTCCGTGGGCGCTCTCGCGTTAGCCCATCGTCGCACATCCAGAGCATTTCGCCAGCGGCGGAGAGCGCGGAGATTGAAGCGAGGGTTGCGAAAGATGTGCAGCAAGCGGTTTACTTCGCGCCGCGAAAGGTCGGCATCGCGGATGAACAGGTATATAGCAGTGAGCGTGTCAAAGACAATGCCGTCCTCGCTTTGATCACTACAGGTGGACTGCTGCTCGTCGTCTACCGTCCCTTCATCACCTGCTGTCGCTTCCGCCACCTCGTCAGCGGCCGCCACTGCATCGTTAGCTAGCGAGTTCGGGCTAGACGTCTCGTTGGGGCGACCTGCGGTACGGGCGGAAACAGCCGCGTAGGCCTCCAGATAGGCCTGAGCTAATCGGGCGTCACGCTTGCCGAGGATGTTGCGTCTGCACTCTGCGCTCTTTGCAAGGTGCGACTGAAGCGCACAGTCATCGCGAAGGACACGCGGACACCCCCTGCAGCGGCAGGCCGCCATATCCGTAACACGGAGCCCTAAAAAGTCAATGCACTAACGCATGAAGCAGTGGACACTGGGGTTGGTATCCACCCCAGTCACAGTCACTGGCTCAACCTCACCCTGGTGTCGTGAACATGATGTTGCTATCAAGGAGAATACGTATGACTTTGTACCGCGTGCCACATTTGACAATACATGAGAGCTTTTTGACGGATCTAGGCTGGCTACGTCATGCGCTGCCTGGCACCATCGTGTGTCCCCACATATGCCTAGAGGTTCTTAGTGTTGTAATTGCCCATCCTATAGTACTCTGCGCAACAATATGGTGTACACATGTGGGTGACATTGGACAGTGTGTGTGGACCGACACTGAAGTGCGTCACTCTATGTGGTACGCATCGAAACTTTAGCGTGGGAGATAACATTAGGTACAACATGGTGAACACGTGGTCCCAGTACACTCGTGCACCTGTTTAAAGCAAACGGATTTCGCCAGAGATGACGTTTACACGTTGGAGCCCAAAACAGCACAGCTCGGCCACGAGATTTTTCTTGCCAGCAAAACGCGGGCCGACGTTGACACATGTCACGTCCTGGCGATTTCCCGCGCAGCTGCATGCAGATCTTGTAGCTTCGCCCATCCTGCTCGGGCTCGATATTCCAAGGCGATATGACGTTCCATTCCGCATAGAAAGCCAAGTCTGGGCACCTGTCTTGCTCTGTGTTAGTTCTTGTTGTTAAACTGTATTATGCTTGTAGGCTGTAGTGGGGTAGCCAATATGGGGTACAACCCCAACTAGGGTTTCATATTTGTACCCAAACTTCTGTTAGTTCAATCATTCTTGCCTAGTGATTCTGATATGGTATCAGAGCAGGAGGTCCCTAGGACCTACCGATCGTTTTTAGGGCCCACCACCGCTCGCATGCGGTTACCACGCTACCCCGTTCCCTAGCCTCGTAGCGCCCTCGTGCGCCCTCGTTAGCGCCCTCGCGCGCACCCTCGTTAGCGCCCTCGCGCCCCCCCACTCACGTCAGCGCCCTCGCGCGCCCCTTCGTTAGCGCCCTCGCGCGCCCCTTTGCTAGCGCCCTCGCGCGCCCCTTACTAGCGCCCTCGCGCGCCCCTCACTAGCGCCCTCGCGCGCCTCTCACTAGCGCCCTCGCGCGCCCCTCGCCGAGCCGCCCGCTCGCAGCCCGCCCGCCCGCTCGCTGCCCGCTTCGCGGCCCGCTCACTACGCAGCCCGCCCGCCCGCTCGCTGCCCGCTTCGCGGCCCGCCCGCTTCGCAGCCCGCTCGCTCGCTGCCCGCTTCGCGGCCCGCCCGCTTCGCAGCCCGCTCGCTCGCTGCCCGCTTCGCGGCCCGCCACTTCGCAGCCCGCCCGCCCGCTCGCTGCCCGCTTCGCGGCCCGCCCGCCTCGCAGCCCGCTCGCCCCGCTGCCCGCTTCGCGGCCCGCCCACTTCGCAGCCCGCCCGCCCGCTCGCTGCCCACTTCGCGGCCCGCCCGCATCGCAGCCCGCTCGCCCCGCTGCCCGCTTCGCAGCCCGCCCGCCCGCCCGCTGCTCGCTTTGCGGCCCGCCCGCCTCGCAGCGTCGCCCGCCCACCGTGCTGCCCGCTTGCAGCGCCGCCTGCCCGCCGCGCTGCCCGCTTTCCGGCCCGTCCGCCGCGCTGCCCGCTCGCAGCGTCGCCCTCCTGTCGCGCTGACCGCTTGCAGCGCCGCCTGCCCGTAGCGCCAGCCTCGCCCGCTGCTCTCTTTCCGTGCACTGTCGCCTTCCCCTGCTGCGGCAGCTTGCGTTACTCTGTCACACTGTCGCTATGGCTTCCATTCGCGTGCTGTCGTTCGATGCTGAGGGCCGCCCTGTGCGTTTCACCGCTTGGCTAGATGACCTGCAGCTGTTTCTCCTGAGCGATAGCAAGGAGCATGTGTCGCTCTATGACTACGCGTCTGGTGCTGCGCCTGCCCCTCCTGCCACAGCTGAGCTTAGTGTTCGTTCCCACTGGCAGACTCGTGACGCAGCTGCTCGCCTAGCCATTCGCAGTCACCTGCCGTTAGCTGAGCTAGAGCATTTTGGCGACTGCAAATCCGCTAAGGCCCTGTACGACGCTGTCGTCGCTCGCTACTCCTCGCCTGCCACAGCTGAGCTTAGCCGCCTCATGCTGCCGTACCTGTTCCCCGATCTGTCCACCTTTACTACAGTCGCCGATCTTATCACCCACCTTCGCACTAGTGATGCTCGCCTGCGTGCCGCCCTTCCCACCGAGTTCTGCGCTAAGAACCCCCCTCCACTGTACTGGACACTCCACTTCATAGTCACCCGTCTCCCTGACACCCTCCGCTCAGTTCGAGACCACTTCCTTGCTCGCTGTCCCACTGAGCTCACAGTCGCCCTCCTAGAGGAGCACCTGCTCGCGGCCGAAAAGAGCATTGTAGCTGTCGGTGCTGCTCGTGGCGCTCCTCGCACCCCCATCTTTGAGGGGTGTTCTCCCTCTCCCCTCGCTCCCTCCTACGCTGCTGCTGCTGCTGCTGTTGACTTCCTTGGTGCTGAGTCTGTTGGCGCTGCTTCTACTCCTGGTGGGAGGCGCCGCACCGGCAAGGGCAAGGGGGGCAAGGGTGGTGGTGGTGGCGCTGGGGGGGGAGGAGGTGGGGGAGGTGGGGGGGGAGGCGGTGCTGGAGGGAGCGGTGGCGGGAGCGCTGGTGGGAGTGGGGTCGGTGGTGGAGACGGGGGCGGCGGAGGGACCAGTGGCAGTAGTGGCGGCGGCGGCGGTGGCGGCGGTGGCGGTGGTGGCGGTGGTGGCGGTGGCGGTCGGAGCGGTGGTAGTGGTGGCGGCGGAGGTCGGAGTGGAGGCACTGGCTCTGGCCAGAGCTCCCAGCAGCAGCAGCGTCCCCAGACGACCCAGCAGCTTCGTGAGTGGCTTGCTCAGCGTGGGACGTCGGGGGCCAGTGCCCGCTGTTCTTATGTCATTCGCACAGGTGACCGCAAGGGACAGACGTGTGGGAGGTTCCACACCCTGTACCGCTGCTTCTCCCGCCTTGACGACGCTTGGCGTGAGGAGATGGGTGCGGATGTTGAGCGCCCCCGCTGGGCTGAGCTCATGAGGGCTGGTGTTGATGTCTTTGCTCTTGACTATGATGCTATTATTGCTGCCATGTATGCATTGACTGTTAGTGCCGAGGGAGACTGTTACTTGTGTGTGCCGCCTGACCCAGGTATAGAGCCCGCTGCCCTGGGTACTAGTGAGTCTGCTCTCTCTGGTATGGTGCCCCCTGTACTTGCTCCCCCCAGTGCTGTCCCGGCTGGTTTCGAGTCTGCTCTCTCAGGTACAGCACCCACAGAGACTGCTCTCTCAGGTACCGCACCGGCTGAGGCCTGTCACACCTTCACCCTTGACTCAGGTGCTTCCCGTTGCTTCTTTCGTGACAGTACTGAGCTCACACCGCTTCCTGCACCGGTCCCAGTCTCCTTGGCTGACCCCTCTGGGGGCCCAGTCCTTGCCCAGTCCACCACTGTCCTCCCTTGTCCGGCGGTTCCGTCTGGCTCGTTGTCGGGTTTTCACCTCCCCTCGTTCTCGACGAACCTGGTGAGCAACGCTGTCCTCCAGGATCAGTGGGTTGACACCTTTACCCCTGGCGGACAGCGTGTGGCGATCTGCACGTGCTCCAGGACTGGCCGTCACCTGGCTACGTTCACCCGTCGGCCGGGGTCGAGTCTCTACACACTGACCACT